TCTTCCTTTTTTCACGGGTCCCAATTCAGTTCTTATTCCCATCTCTACCATGTCCTCCCTTGCTTTAAAGCCATCCTTAGACTTCCCTTTTATATTGAGTAACGTACCAATAACACTGTCAAATACATTTTTTTCAATATGTATAACATCAAGAAAATGTCTTACGTACAAAGATTTCCAATATGGAAATTCAAAAAAAATCGACCTCTTCTTCCACCCACCTGTGACAACTTTATGTGCAAAAGGCTTGCCAAACTGAATACTCACATCTTTCACCTTTTCAAATATTTGATCACCTGTCAATCCAGGCGGAGCTCTACGTTGTTCGGTATCTCCGTTGAACGCTTTTCTCCATCCACGGTATTGATGTTTAGAATTTAAGAATCTACGATGACCGAGAAAGACATTCTTCTGACAAAGTTTCAATCGCATCGTATCGGTTCCATCTTCACAGATAGGACACGCTTTTTCACCTTTAATGCTATACCCGGATAGATTTCCGTAGGCTGGAAAATCGTTAATTGTTCCAAACAACATCGCCCTCACGTTGAAACTTTCTTTCCTATACCCATCATGAACCTCCACACCGTTCTCCCACAAAATCTTCAAATCTTCGATTAAAGGTTCCAAATATACGTCTATGTCATTTCCTGGTTGTTTAGGCCCAGAAATTAACATAGATAACATCATGTACTTACACTTCATACATAGCCACGGAGGTAGGTTATAAATCATAAGAATCACAGGCCATGTGCTATACGAGATACTTTGAATACCGTGTGGGTTCATTCCATCAGTAGACAATGCCAAGCGAAGGTTTCTTGCTTCTTTTCCAAATTCAGGATAATCATTATAAATTTTCATCCACTGTGGTGAATCTGCCGGATGTCGAAACTTTCCATCAACAATTCTTTAATCTGCATGCCAAGTTAAGTGTCTTGAATCGGTTTCACTATGATACATCCGTCTAAATCTCGGAATTATAGGAAAATACCATAAGACTTTTGCTGGAGACAACTTTTTCTTATATCGAGGGGCACCGCATTTAGGACACTCATTTAACGATGCATACTCGTTTCGAAACAAAAACGCAATCTTTTGGACAAGCATGTATCTTGTCATAGCTCATGCCAATAGAGTACAACATCATTTTGGCCTCATACGTTTGATTAGGGAGAACATTATCCTCTGGTAGCATATCTTTCATAAGGGCTTTTACTCTGAAACTTTTATCCGACCATCCATTGCCCGCCTTTAAGTTGTACAACTTTAATACCGCAGACAATCTTGTGAATTTTGTACAACCATTATACAACGGCTTCTCTGCATCGCTTACCAACCTCTCGAACATTTTGGGACAATCATTAAGATCTTCTTCAAGCGCTTCTGCAATCTCTTCAACTTGATCATAATCGTATGTATTTGTGCCATTGTCGTTTGAAGCATAGGTCCTATTATCCCCCGATTCATCATTCCCGTCACTTTTCTCACCATGGATATTCCAACATGTATAACTTCTATCAATTCCATACCGTATTAAATGTGATGCCAACTGAACCGCGTCAACCCGATTCCCATAACAGCAACACAAACAAGGACATGTCATTCGACTGGGGTTTTCGGCGTGCGCAACAGTAAACTTAACGAATTCCGATACCCCGTTCTCGTACTCTTTCGAAAATCAATTGGAATACATCCATGTCTTATCCATGGTTTACGGTTTCTGAGTCAATCTGAGCTAAATGATAAATTCGAAAACAAAACCAATACTCAAAACTTGCACTTGCTCTTGCACAACCATATAACAAAACCAATACTCAAAATTTTTCACTAAATTCATTTTATTCTATCAACTACTTTAGTACACAAGTGTAATACATTCCTACCAAGAAAAGAGACGAGTAGAACACATAAACAAGAAACCATCATTGCTCAAAATCAATCATAAAAAGCACACGAAAAAAACAATATATTAATAAAGTTAACAATAGCAGAGTTAACAATAATGTTAGGAAGTGGACTAAGTTAAACACCAGCTACAATGGAAGTATAAATTGACCCTTTAATTAGGAGTGACATGTCTTATGGGTAGTATAGCAGAAAATATCTTTTTTTTTACAAACATTAAAAAAAATAGCAGAAAATATCTTAGTTAGCTAGACAAGCATTACTCTATTTGTTGATATTTTTGTCTTATCTCCAAAAGCTTGTGTATGTAACTTCTCAGGAAATGAATCACCTTCTGTCTTATTCCATTCATCCATATCTTTTGCTCATAATCTAACAGCTAATATAGTTTGAAGAATTAAAATATTAAAAAAATGGTACAGAAGAAAGAGAAATGCACATTTGACTTATACGTGGGAAATACAAACATATACTATATCATTACAATACAAAAAAAAACAATTTTTGTTATTTTGGTTTGTATCATTACATATGACTTTAACAAAAAACTATTATGGCAGCATTAGTTATGGGATGAATCTAATGCTGATACACTGATTTTTCTAAGTTTAGTTGATGAAGTAACATTTCCTCTAATTATCAGGTATTTCATTAGATTGTTTAGTTGCACAAAGGCATTACTATAAGATGGCTATAATCAAATGCTATAACAAATGAGGATTGTTTAGAAAAACATGTATTCAGCCATTTACATAGTTAAAGATTTGGAACTCAACTCAATGTTTATGGCGCAGAAAATGTACATGAACATTCAAGATATGTACCCAATAATATGTAAAACTTGTAAGATCTGCGAAAATCTAAATAAAACTAAAAAAAATGAAGAAAAAAAAACATGAACATGAAGCATTCAGTCTGAGAAAATCTGCAAAATGAACATGAAGATGAACATAAACATAGTAAATGTCACCTTTCCTTCCATTTTAACACTAAATCGGTAGCAAATATGCAAAATAAGGGATAAACTCCAAATCTGTCAACAAATCAAAACAATTGAAATCAAACCACAAAATATATATAAACAGTCAACGAATATAAGGTTTCAATGGAAAATCGGAGGGTTCTTCTGCGAAGATCGGAGGGTTTCGATGAGTTCAGTGACAAGGATTGAAGAATGAGACGAGAAGGGTTGATTGGGATTTTACAGAGAAAATGTTAGGACCAATAAAACACAACAAACCAAACACCCATGACATAGAATGGAAGCTCTGGTTTAGGGTTTTTTCGTGAAGAAAATCTGACTGAGAATAGAAAAGTGATACGAATTGTGTTTTGATATTTATTATAAAACTACCTACGAAAGCGCTTTTAAAAGTGCTTTCTAAAGGTCATCTATAACAGCGCTTTTACATCAAAAAGCGCTTTCGTAGCATATCCTATAGCAGCGCTTTTAAAAGCGCTTTCTAAAGGCCAGCTTTAGCAGCGCTTTGGAAAAGCGCTTTCTAAGGCTGACCTTTAGCAGCGCTTTTGAAAAGCGTTTTCTTAAGATACCCTCTGAAAGGCCAGCTTTAGCAGCGCTTCCCAAAAAGCGCTTTCTAAGGGTGACCTTTAGAAGCGCTTTTGAAAAGCGCTTTCTTAAGGCACTCTTTGAAAGCGCTTTTTTGAGCGAATTTTTTTTAAAACCTACAGCAACGCTTTTTTCCAAAAGCGCTTTCTTTTATGTGCTGCAAAACCTTATTTTTGGCGTAGTGACACATTAACGTTTTTGAAGGAGAGAAATGGAAATTAGGAGTAATATTGCAACCTACAACATATATTAAAGACGACTTTGTTCTGTTTTAAAATATAAGGATCAAATTCATGAGTTAATTAAAATACAAAGACCAAAAGTATTATTAAAACAATTAATAAATTACTAGAACACTAATAACCCCACTTATGATATGGTAATTGGGAACTACCAAACCATATAGCGACATGTGAACAAATGTGGCCGGCAATCATAGTGTGGTAGCCACAAATAAAAACCCAACAAGGATTAGATTATGGAAAAAGATTGATAAAAAAAGAAACAATTTGGGTCTTTTACCAGTTCAACAAGATTCTTCTAAACATTCTTTCACATGCGTTAGTTATTATTTATCTCCTCTCAATAAATTTATAAGTAATAATTTTTTTTTAAAATTTATTAAATAAATAATATATTTAATTATTATTTTATATTAAATACATCAATTATTCAATAAAATTTAAAAAAATATATTATTTATAAATATGTTTGAAGAATATTATCTATTATTTCTTTCTTTGCCCATGTTACCTAAATACTAACCTTTACTCCACCTTTAAACCATTCCTTCCATTACCAAATACAGTTCTAAGTTTGTTTTCCATCAACACTCTTGCTTCTCCTTCTTCCTAACTACCTCATGCTTCTCTTTTCAAACCACCTAATTTCCACCACCTTCATCACCAATTCAAGCAACTATTAGTTGTTCAAGAACAAATCAACCACTCATGATACATTTCTATAACTGGATTAACACTCACATTTTATAGGTACGATTTTTGTTTTTTCTTTGTCTTAACCTTCAAATTTTTAAAAGAAATAGAATTCTTTATCATGAAAGCGATATAATTTTATTTATTTAATTATTTGTAATTCAAAAAAATATTTTTAATTAAAAATTAGATTTAAAAAAAAACCATTCATATTTATATTATATATTTTTCTTGATAGAAGAAACATTATATTTTTTTTTTTAGAGAAAATTTTTATACTATATATACATTCTGAAAAGTGTATTAGATGCTAAAATGTGACCGAGTGCATACATCTAAGGGGAAAGAATGATGAAGATTTCTGGTCAAAAAAGAATAAGATCAACTTTTATTAGGTATCAAATTAAAACTATTACTATGATTTTTTCTTTCTATAATAAAACCAAGCAATTCCTTAAATATAATATTTGAATATCCAATAATAAAACATATATAAACTTTCTATAAATTTAGTCTATATGAAACTTCATTCTCCTAAAACAACATAGGCTTTTGCAGAAAGTGAAGAGATTGAGGTTGAACAAAGAACAATGGACTTCAACAATCTTTTCTTGTTCTTCATGTTTCAATTCATCTTAATTATTGGTTGCAGTAGTTCAGGTTTCCCAACTTCATATTACTATTATTATTATTTATTTATTTATTTTATTTGTATATTATACCTTTCATTATTTGAACGTTTATTTAATCTACATTTATGAAAATTAATATTATATGAAGAAATTAATTTTATAGTATATAATCTCAGGGGTGCGATTGGATATTCAAGATAAACATGTAATCTACTTCTGCAATAGCTTTTTTCTTTTTAAACTTTTTTTTAAATTATTTAACTATAGTTTTTTAGGATCATATTTGTGAGACAATGAACAATTCCTAATTTATTTTATTTTTTATTTTATTTTTGGTTGTGCTTAGGTGATAATGGATAATGGCATTGTCCAAGTTAATATATCAAACCCAGAAGGACATGTCATTGGAATTCAATATAATGGAATTGATAATTTGCTTGAAGTTCAAAATAAAGAATCTGATAGAGGGTACATCAATTTAATTTTAAATTTTATTATTATTATTATTATTATTATTATTATTATCATTATTATTATCATTATTATTATTATTATTATTTATTTGGTAGGTATTGGGATATTGTATGGGAGCAGGGTGGGGAAAAAAGAACTGAAAAAGGAGTAAAGAAAAAGGGAATTTTGGACAGGTATATGATTCACGGACTTTGTCTTATATATAAATTTATATTAGTTAATTAATAAAATTATTATATTTAGGAAGTTTGAATTTGAATTTTTTTAAAGGATGGAAACAAATAATTTGACGGTGATAGTGGAAAATGAAGAACAAGTAGAGTTATCTTTCACTAGAATATGGAATTTCTCTCTTGAGGGAAAGCTTGCACCACTCAATTTTGATAAAAGGTTCTTCAATATCTCTTTGTTATTTTTTTAATTAAAATTAAAATTTAAGTATATAATAATAATTATTATTATTATAAATGTTACTATGATGAATATGTAGGTTTATAATGCTTCGTGATTCTTCTGGATTTTATACATATGCAATTTATGAGCATTCGAAGGAATGGCCAGCTTTTGATCTTGACAATACCAGGGTTGCATTTAAGCCTAGAAAAGATAAGTAAGTGACTTTAGTTTTTTTTTCTTGAAGAAATTTAAATAACTTGCATTTAAACTTAATTGTTGTGATATTTTTTTATTAAATTTGAAAGGTTCAATTACATGGTTATAGCGGATGACAGACAAAGATTTATGCCTCTGCCGGATGACCGGTTACCGGGAAGAGGCGAAGTTCTGGCTTACAAAGAGGCCGTCCGTCTTGTCAATCCGGTGGAGCCAGAGTTCAAAGGAGAAGTATGAATTTAAATTTTATTGATTTAGGTTCGAATCTGCAACATCTCATATAACTATAACTATTTCAGGTTGATGATAAATACGAGTACTCAATTGAGAGTCGAAAAAATCAAGTTCATGGTTGGATTTCCATAAACTCGTCAGAATCAAAATCAACTGGATTCTGGATAATTACTCCTAGTAATGAATTCAGATCTGCTGGACCCTTAAAACAATACCTTGCTTCCCACGTTGGGCCTACCTCACTATCTGTGAGTTTCTTCATCAACTTTTTTTCAAAATTATTTTCTATAATTCTTATTTATTTGGGAAATCACATGAATCAGGTATTTCATAGCACACATTATTCAGGGGCAGATTTGATCATGGAATTTGGAGTAAATGAGCCATGGAAGAAAGTCTTTGGGCCCATCTTTATATATCTTAACTCTGACTCTGATGGGCTTAGCCCAATCAACCTCAGGGAAGATGCCAAACACCAGGTTATTTTTTAAAATTATTATTAGCGTCGATGTATCTGTATCGGTGTTGTCCGGTATACATGTATGTGTTTCAGAGAGATTTTATTAATTTTTTTTATAAAATATTATAGATGGTGAATGAAGTTGAAAGCTGGCCCTATACTTTTCCTGCTTCAAAGGACTTTCTTTCATCTGCCCAAAGAAGTAAAGTTGAAGGTAGATTGCTTGTTCGAGATAGGTATGTATCATATAGCCAAGGACTATCACTAAAATAAAATATACTAGTGGTTGAAATCATGTCAATAATTTGAAGTTTTCGATTTAAAAAGTTTTTCTATGAATACCACGACTCAACTCACTAATAGTAAATGGTGTATAGGTTCATCGGTGATGCATTTGTTCCGGTCAAAGGTGCTTATGTGGGATTAGCACCACCAGGAGATGTTGGCTCATGGCAAGCAGAATGCAAGGTAATACCGATGAGAAAAATAATTGATCCGATTTTACTTATCTTCTGTTTGAAACTTTGAATAATGTTTGATATGTATTAATATTTTTTGATAGGGTTATCAATTTTGGACTATTACTGATGATAAAGGCTATTTCTCAATAATTAACATACTTCCTGGTGACTATAATCTGTTTTCTTGGGTTAATGGATTCATTGGTGATTATCAATATGACAAAGTCATTAACATAACCTCAGGTAATAATTTATCAAGTTTATTCAAAGTTTGTAAATGATATAATATTGCCATTATAAACTCACTCATGAAACAAAATGTGTAATATATAGGTAGTGAAATTAAACTGGGTGAGCTTGTTTATGAGCCACCAAGAGATGGCCCTACATTGTGGGAGATAGGTATCCCCGATCGATCGGCGGCTGAGTTTTATATTCCTGATCCAAATCCTTTGTACGTGAACAAACTTTACCTCAACCATTCAGACAGGTACGAGAGTTATAAAATTAATCAACATTTTTAAAAAAAAATATTTTTAAAATTGAACCGAATCAATAAAAAACGGCCGATTCTAAGTTGGTTTGAAAGTAATTGAAGCAAATTTGAACATATTTTTTAGAAAACACAAGAGAAAACTTTATGAGGCTATATATAACTTACAGATATAGGCAATATGGTTTGTGGGAGAGATATGGTGAATTGTATCCAAAAGAAGATCTAGTTTACAATGTTGGCACCAGTGATTACAAAAAAGATTGGTATTTTGCTCAGAATACCAGGTTTGTTGTCTGTCTTGCGCAGCTCATGAGATTAGTCTATACTGTTATATGTTAAATATAACAACTTAAAAATAGTCTCTATTGACTTTGTTTATTGATTTTCAGGAAGAAAGACAACAACACTTACAAAGGAACTACATGGCAAATTAATTTCAATCTTGATCATGTGAATACCAATGGTACCTATAAATTGCGACTAGCTCTGGCATCCGTTCATTTTGCAGAGTTACAGGTATAATAATATTTTTGCATGACATTTTTGTACAATCTTGATTTATATATACAAATATCATTGTCATTTTGGAATGCTAGGTTCGCATAAACAATTCCGATGCGAATCCACCTCTATTTACAACTGAAGTTATAGGAAAGGATAATACTATAGCAAGACATGGAATTCATGGAATGTACAGATTATACAATGTTGATGTACAAGGAAGTCTTCTTGTGAAGGGAAACAATACCATCTTTCTAACACAAGCTAGCAGCAATGGTCCTTTTGTAGGAATTTTGTATGATTATATTCGTTTAGAAGGACCCCCTCAAATACATTTTACAGATCAATTAGATATCTTTTGAAAAATATCACAATTTCATTTAATTCAATCAATAGGAAAAATATATTATTGTTTAGCATAGTGATATCTAAAATAGATCAAATTAGAGAACCTTCTAAAAGTTTTTCAGATTTTGCTATTTCTAAATGTATACACTCTTGATTAAAGTTAAGAATTTACTCTTAGATTTGTTAAATTTATGTCGCACGCTTTGTCTTTTTGTTAATTTGGTTTATACATCTCATTTACAATTTGTTTAGATCAACAATCCTCTAATACTATTTCAAATGGACTTTGATCAATAGTATCTTGTTATGTAAGTGTTGGAACATGTCCATCTTTCAATATGTTGAACTTAAAAATTTCTCAAGTCCTACATTATTAAAATATCTTTTTGGTTGAAAAAAACCATTTAGTCCCACATTGTTCATGTCAGAAATATTAACTATCTTACTTTACTATTCTATTAGTTTTTCCTTCCTCACTCTCATAACTTTGCGTCTCTCGATTTGTCGAAGCGTCATCTTCTTCTCATTCTTTCTACTCGTTGAATTTTCCGAGTATTTTCTTGAATTCTCTTTAGAGAATTATGTTAGTTTCTCCTCATTTGAGTTGAGAAATTTTCAAGTTTAATCTTTTGGATTCTCTTTGGAGAATTATTTTAATTTCTCTTTGATGGAGAAATTATTATGAGTGGTCATCGAGTTTCTTTTTGTTTGAGAAATTATTATGACTAGTCTTTGTACCAGATACTACGAATGATGTTGATATTATATTTGAATGGTCTTGTACCATCAAAGGGTGTATTTCTAGACCAATTATCTACCATGTAAGTAGTAACCGTACAATATAGAACTGAACTATTTTATCCTCGAGATGGCGTGGTAGTTCGACTGCTTTGCATAATTTTGAGCAGTGTTGCGAAACGTCTTAAAGAGAGCGACCTAGTCCGCGACCCAACCTGGTAATTTCTTCGGTGGAAAATATTTCAAAATTAAAAAAAAAAAATTTTTAAGACGATTCAAACTGCCATGACTACCGAAGAAATTATTGGTTCTTTTGTGGATATTGTCTTTGAGAAATCGTTCATGTTTGAGAGAAGTCACTTCAAACGTTGGCAACAAAAGATGATGTTCTTAACGTTGAGAAAACATTTTGATCGATGAAATTTTGTTGCTCCTTCTGGATCAATCAAACAAACTAACGGTAGTAAATCTGGAGATTTAGAAGGAACACTTAATAGTGTTGAAGTTGATGTGATACTGCAAAACCAGATTGAGAGACTCAGAAAAAGAAGTATGACGTAGAAGCTGGAGCAAAGAAGTATGTTGTTAGTCGCTACTTCAAGTATCAAATGCAAAAATGTAAGGTCGATGGAGGCTCAATGTTACGAACTTCAAAAGATTGCTTAAAAGATCATCACAAAAGATATGTGTTTAAATGAACAATTTCAAATTGGTTTTATTATTGACAAACTACCCCATAGTTTAAATGTTTAAAAAATAAAAAGGGAATCTTAGAGACAATATCAAAAAGAAAAAGTCTTGGTTGTTTCAAACAATAAAAAGAAATTCGGTGTAGTTCTGAAGCCATTTGGAAAATGATTAAAGAATCAGAACATCAATATTGTGAACCGAATTAAGAATGGGAATCCTTCTATGATCCCAATAGCTCCAACTAGGTAACAACCACCATATAAAAGAAATGACTTTGGTTTTCCTTTATTTTAACTATGGAAAATCAAGTCATATGACTAAGAAATGTAGAAGTAAGCTTGAACTTGGTGTTATCCCTAATGCACAAGTCAACCTGACTAATGGGCCATTTATTGCTATGGTCATTGAAATCAACATGGTTGATGGATATGTTGGTTGGTGGATAGACACTTGCGTCTCTCGTTGCGTCTGTTATGATCGTGTTATGTTTAAACATACACGAATACTAAAGATAAGAAAGTGTTGTTGGGAGATGGCCAGACCACGAATGTTGCTGGAATTGTAGACATGGAGCTAAATTTCACCTTCAAAAAGAATTTAATCTTAAGGAACGTTATGCATGTTCCTAAGATTAGAAAGAATATTGTTTCTGGTTTTCTTTTAAATAAGACAGGGTTTAGTTAGTCTATTGGGGTAGATTTGTACGCCATTACGAAGAATGAAGTTTATATGTTTAAAATTTTTGTAAAGAATTTGAAAATGATATAATAAGAATTTGTAGTGATAGATAAACTGTATGATTCTAGTTTATTAATGAATTTTATACATGGAATTGTACATGAAATGACTGCACCATACTATCTTGCAATGAATGGTAAAACAGAAAGAAATAATAGAACTCTTACTGAACTTGCTGTTGCAATTATGATGAATTCTGGTGCTGCACCTCACTAGTGGGGGGGAATTTTATTGACTGTTTGCTATGTCTTGAATAGAGTTCCCAAGTCAAAATGTAAGATCTCTCCTTAAGAGATATTAAAGAAAAGATAACCAAACTTGTCTTATTTGAGAACTTGGGGTTGTCTGACTTATGTCAGAATTCCAGACCTGAAACGAGTTAAACTCGCTAGTAGAGCATATGAATGTGTTTTCATTCGGTATGCAGCAAACAGTAAAGCATATAGGTTTTATGACCTAAAGGAAAAAGTGATCATAGAATCAAATTATGTTGAATTCTATGAAGACAAATTTCCTTTCAAATTGAGAAATAGTGGGGGCACACAATCGAGTCACATTACTGTGATAAGAAGTACAGAAAGCAACGATAATATAGAAACTGAGCTTCGACGAAGTAAACGAGTAAGAAATGCTAAAGACTATATGCCTGATTATGCGGCTTATAATGTAGAAGAAGATCCAATGAATCTTTAAAAAGCCTTGTCATCTCTGGATGTTTATTTATGGCAAGAAGCTATTAATGATGAGATATAATCTCTAGAATCTAACAAGATCTGGCACTTTGTAGACTTGCCTCCTGGTTGCAAACCAATTGGTTGTAAATGGGTTTTGAAAAAGAAACTAAAACCTGATGGAACTACTGATAAATACAAGGTTCGCCTTGTTGCCAAGGGTTTTAGACAAAGAGAAACTATAGATTTCTTCGACACCTTTTCTCCTGTCACTAGAATTACATCCATTAGGATACTTATTTTAATAGCTGCTATTTATAACTTAATAGTACATCAAATGGATGTTAAAACAACTTTTTTAAATGGTGACTTAGAAGAAGAAATCTATATGAAACAACCGGAAGGGTTTGTGATCTATGGATAAGAAAACAAGGTCTGTAAGTTAGATAAGTCTTTGTGTGGGCTAAAACAAGATCCAAAGAAATGGCATGTAAAGTTTGATAACTTAATGATATCGAATGTGTACAAAGTGAATGAAAGTGACAAATACGTTTATTACAAATTTGAGAATTGTATTTGCACTATCATATGTCTATATGTAGACGATCTACTCATGTTTGGATCAAACATTCAAGCCATTAATGATATGAAATCATTGTTGTGCAACAACTTTGATATGAAAAACCTCGGAGAAGTGAGTGTGATTCTTGGTATCAAGATTACAAAATCCGAGCAAGGAATTTTTTTGGATCAATCACAATATGTGAAAAATATCTTAAAGAAATATAATTACTTTGACAGTAAACCTATGAGCACACACCAAATGATCCAAGCGTGAAGCTGTTTAAGAACACCGGTGAAAGTGTTAGGCAAACAGAACATGTGAGCGTCATTGGAAGTCTTAGGTATTCCATTGATTGTACTAAACCTGACATTGTATATATTGTGGGATTCTTGTGCGGGTTTGCTAGTATACCGGGTAATGAATATTTACAAGCTATTGAGCGAGTCATACGGTACCTTAAAAGAACCATGAATCTCAGTTTACATTATCAGAGATTTCCTATTGTACCTGAATGATACAATGATGCAGATTGGAATACCTTATCAGATGATTCCAAAGAAACTAGTGGCTATGTATTCAACATAGCTAGAGGAGTTGTATCTTGGAAATCAAAGAAACATACTATCCTGAGAATATAGCATTAGCGACTGCTAGTGAAGAAGCAAGTTGGTTAAGATGCTTGCTAACTGAGATTCCCTTATTGGAAAAACATTTGTCAGTTGTGTTGATCCATTGTGATAGTACCACGACTATTACAAAAATTGAGAATCGTTATTATAATGGTAAAAGACGTCAAATAAGAAGAAAGCACAACACTGATAGAGATTGTATCTCTAAAGGAGCTGTAAGAGTGGATCATGTACGCACTGATGAAAATTTAGCATATCCTTTGACAAAAGGATTAGCTAGAGAGAAAGTCTATAATATATCATATAAGATGAGACTAATGCCTATAGAAAACTGAGTTGCTCATGATGGTAACTCGATCTAAATGACTGGAGATCCCAAGAAATAGGCTCAATGGGTAATAACAAGTTGTAAGTAATATGAGATGGTCATGCAAGTAAAGCATAAATCCTGAAGTAATAAGAGGATGAGATAATAGAAACTCTTAATGAGATATATACTCTATATGAGGGAGTACTTAGACTACAAGAGTACTCTTGATAGACTCACCTATGAGATTGTGGAACTTAGGTCGGTTTCTATGGAATTTCGAGGTAGAATTCCTAGAGCCTTCATTAAACTGGGATACACGTGCAGGGCCACTAAAACACAGGCTATTAGAATACACCTTAAGAAAAGGTTGTGTGCAGGTTTGATTTCTGAAATAGAGTTCAAGACATTTGTGTCACTCTTGTTGAATTGGAATCCTACTTGCTATGCAAAGGTTCATGTTGTAGACACCTTTGTTTATGCACAATCTTAGAAAGGTTTGACGTTACTTCAAAAATCAATTTTATAAATTCAAGTGGGGGATTGTTGGAACATGTCCATGTTCCAATATGTTAAATTTAAAAATTTCTCAAGTCCCACATTGTTAAAATATCTTTTTGGTTGAAAAAAACCATTTAGTCCCACATTGCTCATGTGAGAAATATTAACTACCTTA